CCCCCCCCCCCCCCCCTCAGCTCCTCTGGAGGGAACAAAGGTGTCAGAAAAAAAAAATCCCGGCACCCTTGGTAGGGAGCAGAAAGTGATCCTTTTCATGAGAACCACATGTTTCGACGTTGCCTTCAAGCGCCATCAAGCCCGATGGGAACATTCGTTGAGATTCATCTGGTGAGGGACTCGCTCCTGAAATCTTTGGGTTGACTTTTGGGGCTAGCATCTGCATTCAAACAGCCTCGCATTGTGTCCATGCGGCCGGTCTCGTGCTGCCAAGAAAGCGTGAAGCAATGGCGCCTTATCTAAGGGTAGCGTCGTGGGGTTGTCACCCACGGTTCGTACAATAGTGCAGTTGGCATAGAGTTGAAAACACGTTGTTTTCGTAATCCTTGGAAGGCCAGGAGACGGCATGGCTTGCTGAATGACACCCAACCCGTTTGCGCACGTTGTTTAGGTCATTTGCGGGCACTGCGGTGCTCGAGAGAAAGGCGGCACTACGTGCAGCCAATGTGGGTACGCAATCAAGTTTGACTTTTCTGGGCATGATGAAGATTTACCCATCCTGCCAAGAACGATCGACGCTACCAGTCGTGCACGGGCACCTGTCACACAGGGCAGCTAACCGAACGCCAGGGTCGGTCCAGAGAACGAAAACGTTCCGCACGAAACAGCTAGATCCATCACACATGAGGCCGAGCTGTCTCACCCATGATCACTTGCACTTGCGTTTTTTTTTTCGTTTCGAGCGTCGTCGTCTTTGACTTGCAGGAGCCAGAAGAGCGAACCTAGAAATAGATTTCGTGTGCGTGCTGAGGGTTCGACTGTGCCTAATAGCGTACCATGTAGACCTATTGCAATTTAAGCACATCCACAAAGCTGAGACACAAAGAAGTTGTGCTTGGACAGCAGTCCCACCCGTAGTCAGCCTTGGGTGATCAGTCCCACCAGAAAACGGCAACGTAGGAAGCCCTTTCCAGCCTTATGTGTGTTCTTGCTGATGATATGTTCTGAACCAATGCCTGGGATATCAAAAGTGAGTTTCGTGGCGTCGCTGTTGCTGTTGCGGAATGTCCAGTTGGGCGGTGTATGTTAGAACATTCGGCCCCTGTTGCCTTAATTTGCGGGATTGAAATAACACGAAAAGTAGATGTTCGTAGTTGAGGAATCACGGGTTGTCCATAGGACCCAGCGAAGCGATCCAGCAGATTGTGTTTGGGGCGTATCAGAAACGCATTAAGTCTCGGTGGGAGTTTTCTTGCCGTCGATTATTGACCCGCGCAACAATATTTTCTCGCTATTTTTTTCCCTTTTTGCCCTTCTTTCCCCCTTTCTTGGCCTTCTTCTTGGCCTTCTGGTACTCCGCGCGGGCCCTTCCCCCTCGAAACATCGCCTGAATCTTCTTGGCCGCTCCATCCACGATGGCCATCGCCCTTGCCACCTTCCCCCTGACCACGGCCAGAGTCTCTTCCTCCGCCCACTGCTGTCGCCTGCTGGCGTCGACTCGGTCGAAGTGGTCCTGTAAATTCGCTAGCTCTTGGCGCTCTTCCTCCATCTTGGCCTGTGGTCGTTTGTCGGGGGATGGGGAAGCAGTTGAGGAGGGCCGGAATGTGGTTACGGCTTTGTTGATTGTTCTTCACGCAGAAACATCCGACAATTAGACCTCAGGACACCACAGCAGTACCGCGCGAGATATGCGAGAAGTTTTTGATATTGTTCAGTTTGAAAAAGCTGCATTTGGAAGCCACAGCTCGTGTTGAAGTCCTGGTGATACGCCGAAGCCATTCTGCCGCATCCTCCCACTCGGTGTGCTTCACGTTTCACCGAGCATTTGGTGCCCTCCTGATGAAGCTTAGTCACGACAAAAACAACAACATTCATCCGCCGCGGTACTGGTCGTTGAGGGCCACCTTCAATGGCTTGCACCCGATCAGCCTTCTAATAATGAAAACCACGGCCAGACAAGTGGTAAGGGGCTTTTGGTTAAGTGAACTTCCCTCCGACATCCACTTCCTTGATCGCTGGCTCAATTTGACTGCTTTGGCTTCGGTCGAATACGCGTCCAATAGTCTTGATGCACTCTAGACAATGGACTCGAAGCGATAATTGTCAAATCGATTTTCTATTATTTTGCATCATCCTAGCGTCCCGTTCTCACGTCGATGTGTTCTGTCCAGGCCATCTCGGTCGACAGATCAAGGTGGTGCACTTTCCTTGCCGCTTCAGAAAATCATAGTGTACATAATCATGTCAAGAGCACACGCACAACAATTTCTTCTCAAGAATCTATTGCCGTGCATAGTAGGGTGTATGGGGTTGTACGGAACTGCCGTTGAATTTCATGTGCCTGGCTCTCACCTTTATCTCCTCTATCTGGGCTGTCTTCGCGGTCATATCTCGGTCGTACTTCCCTACCGTCGCGGTTAGTTCCACCTCGACCTTTGCCTTCTTTTTGCGAGACGCCGTCTCTTCCTGCTGGTGCAGCTCCGCTGCCTCACCCGTCTCCTTCGCCAGACGCTCGATGCGCTCGGTCAGCGCTCGACCCTTTTTCGGATGAGAGAGGGCGACATGAATTGACGCAGTTGTAATGACGGCGCGATCGGGAGGGCGGGCACTTCAAGGCCTTGGGAATGTCGATGGGACGTTTCTACAGGCCTCCTCTGTCTCCTTAGCCAGGGTGTTAATGGAGGTGAGGCACACGAAAGTGTCGAAAAATTGATGGTTTTCCGTAAACCCGCCGTTCTCGGAAGACTGCACCCGTCCTCTGCAACAGAAGCACCGTAGCCGCTCCTGGCAGTACTGGCGAGACTTCACAAGCAACAGAATAAGTTAAGCATCGGTTTGATTTGCACACCTTTTTCTCATGATCTTCCTTCGCTTTTGCCACGGCGTCGGCCGCCTTCGTCTTGATGGAATCCATCTCCACGGCGTTAGTATGCGTCACCTCCTGGAGCTCCTCCCGACGCTTCTTTATCGTCGCCCCTAACGCGCTCACCTCCTAAGTTTGGGGGGGAAGTGTGAAACGATGACAATTATTGTGACGTTGCCTCACTACTGCGCCGCTACCGCCAAGAGTCAGAAATTCAGGAACATATTCAGGGAGGCACATTGACGATATAGAGTAAACACCAAAGTAGTACCAAGCATGACACGATTTTCATTCGAACTGAACACCAAGACCTTAGTTCACGTCAATAGAGAACGCATGTGTAGCTTAAAACGCACGTCTGCGCAGTCAAACACTATTTCCAGCCGCGCACTTCGACAAGAGGGTAAGCGCAAGGCGTTCAGGCACACGACAAGTAACATTAACATTCACGAAGGTTTGGCGGCAAGACAACAATCAATCGAATGGTGGCGGGTCCAAGTCCGCTTGTGCAGTGTACCCCAAGCGAGCACCCGTCTATCGCCTGGTGTTTGGCGTCCGGGTTGTCGTGTGTGTAGCCTCACCCGCTCTTTTTCTGTCCGGGTTGCGTGCAGCGTCTGGTGTAGCGCGTCTCGCTCGTCTTCGGCCAGCTTTTCGCACTCCGTCAAGTCGTGCAACAGGTTCTTATTCGCAGTCTGGAATGTTCAACCATGCCGGATCACACGTGCGCCCGCGAAGAAAGTTGTATCCGGGGATGGAAAGTCGCATGTGCAGCGTGAGGTGCTATAGGGGTGCTTGTATGTCAGACGGATGTTCAGGCGAAAGATATGGGAGAGTGTATATATTTTCGAAAGTTCAGGGATTTCATCTGTCAGTCTGCCTCCCTATCGAAAATACTGTTATGTGAACACAACTCGTATGTTGGGATTTGCGTCCCATTATCAACGAATGCCCGAACGGACATGCATGAGGCAGACCAACCGATGTTTTTTAATCTGTCGAGCATCTATGTTGCTTGCTTTTACCCGCGTCTTCATGTGGTTTCCTGTTTCACTCTCTGTTGAAAGATTGACCTTTTCGCGTTGTGAACCCATGCGCTGTTGCCTTGTAGGCCACGCCACTAACTCTTGATTGTAAGCTTGCTTACTCGCTCACCTCCTCCTCCACCGTGGTGCTAAGCCGGCGGTACATGATGCCGGTGAGATCACTGAGATACTGATTGAACAATATCCCGCTCGGAGGTCGTGGATTCTTGCTCGCGAAAGAAATGAGCACCTCCATCGCGTTGGGACACCTCCGGAGAGTGCGGCACCACGTCCGCGTTGACTGGTAAATCTGCTCAAGGCTTTCGCCACTGTTTGCGGGGGGGCTGCCATCTGCTGATGTCGCCACCGCTGTCCCTGCTGTCCCTAACCCAGCTCCAGCCACTATTGTGGCGCCAAGCCCGTCTCCGCCACTGTTACTTGCCTCCGCCACACCGCCGCCTACCAGAGTGGTATAGATCTTATTTCTCTGGCCATCGCCAGCGCCGTGGGGTGGTGCTGGTGTGGCTGGACCGCTTTTATTTTCGGCTGCAGTAGCACCCTGAGGCGTTTTATCGCCAACCACCGACTGGCTGCTGGTGCCATACGGCCCCTGTTGTCGTCTATCCACCGGCCCCATAGCTCCAGATTTTATCGCTGCCTGCTCCATGAGCCATTGCGCCTGTCACTCATCGTAGCGTTCAACCAAGTATAGGGCATTTTTGAGGGGTGGTGTCTTGCTGTGAAGGAGTTGTTCTGGAAGCCTGCAGGTGGAATCATACCTATTCGCCACGTATACTGTTTGCGGTCAACAGTAGCCAATGAAATTGTGTTTCTCCTGAGAGGTTTCGGTAAGAGTGAGCGAATTGTCAGTTTGATGGGAACACTTACTGCAGGAGAGTGCATGTACGCGACCCGAATAGGTTATATGTCTACCTGCAGGCAGCTCTTGACCGGGTTTGCCCCCGCCTCGGCGAGAGCATCCAGCAGTTCAAGCTTTGCGGTGCAAGGCATATAGCTCAGCCCGTTTAATTTGTCCAGCGTATCCTGGAGTGATTGCAGGCAGTGAGTGTGCGAAGTGCATGCTTTTTCTTGAAATAGAAACCTACTGCAATCCCTGGTGGACATGCGCCGTGTTTATTCCTGTCGAGCTTCTGGCATGGCCTAGACTACCAGGCTTCCAGGTGAAGTCTATGGCAAAAACTCGTCGCTTGTGTGTTGGCGTACGGGGCAAGACGAGGATTCGCAACATGGATGGGATCAGTTGCGTAATTATTGTAGAAATTCTGATCCCAACTACCCCCATCCACCCGGCGTAAGAAATTGAGCATGTGGTTGAATGTTAAGCCCATCAAATGTCCCAATTGGTTGGAAACATGGACCCAAGATCGCCCTACAGCAGTGGCGTCGACACATGCAGCTCCAAGATCCCGAAACGAACTTGAAAATATCTCGGCGTAGGACTACCGACAGCTCAAGCAATAGAGAATTATCCTAACAGTAATCACAAGCTGCAGGTCGGCGCTAAATCATGCCGCATACCTCCGACGCGAGGCTATTTTCACACCCGTCTCCTGAAACCCAAATGTCTCTACATATCTACTACTGTGTATGTTGGTGACGACATCACCTACTTAGAATTCGATGCGTCGACGACAATCTCGTACCTCCATGACAGCGATAACTCGCTGCGCCTCGACGCTCGTGAGTTTATGCATCGTAAACTGCTGTGTTTATTGAACAGTCAGGATATTACGCCGACGCGTGGTAGAACGTTAACCGCGGCGTCCGTTGAGGGTGAGTTACGAGGGAAGGGACGGCTCCTGTCGACGTGTGTCGTCGTCGATATGTACATAATTTCCGAAACCGACGAAAAAGGGGCCACGCAAATTGTACGGGTAGGGTTCATTTTTTGTGTGCGAACCCCCCTCTCGCACATTTCCGCGCTGTTGTGCCAGGCAGGTGCGGCGTGGGGCATTGACCATCTTGATTTGTCGGCCACTCAGAATTGCATCTGCTCACACCACGAAGGACGACTCTCGCCGCCATGCCAACGTCACGGTCGTTCTTGTTCTCCGCGGCGATCCTTCTAGCGGCGGGGGACGTTAGGAGCAGGGCGTTCCTCACCCCTTCGCCCATCTCGGCTTCATCATCACCACGAGCACCGACACTGCCGAGGATCTCCAAGGTGGGTGGAGAGTGGAGAGTCACTCGTGAAGCGCCGGCCAGGGTTTGCCCTGTTTGCCTCAGTTGTAAGGTTATTGTGCAGGAAGAAGGTATGAAGGCGGGCACGTATCTGTGTGTTGCTTCAGACAGCACGGATTAGTGGGTCTGATGTTGAACATAGAGTTGATGCAACTGCGACACAACCGCTGCCTGAATCGTGGGTTGCTCCACATGTCTGCAGTCCGCGGTCCACGCCCGCTTCTGCTCTGTGCCCAAGCTTTGGTTGGGTTGGGCCGTGGCTCCCTCGTTTCTTTGTTGGGACCGGCGCACATGCGTTCCCTGAGGACACGACACGAGAAACAGCCATTGGTGACGTAAGATACCACCCCCGGATAAATATCCCGCAGCGTCTACTGCCTTGTTGCTCCGAGGACAGAGCGAGGGTGGTGATAGACGGGGAAGGGGGGCACGTCTTCGTATTTTTGTTTTTTAGTCAAGCCCGCTTGGTTGGACCTTGGTATCTAGTCTCCTCGTCGTGTATAAAATATTGGACCTTCTTGAAGATCGGCCCGGCCAAGATGGCCGATGATTCAAGCACAGGTTTTTGTAGTGGCTCGTCGTTGCGCCACTGAGGGAAGCCTTCGCCGTGCAAGCAAGCACGGTGAGAACTGGAGCTGCTACATAATCAAACTTGACCAGCGCCCCCCCCCCCCCC